CAAGGAACGAGGCAGGCGGGAAGCAGAATGTTTGAGAGGAAGAAAAGCAGTGCTCTTCTGTCAGAATTACGTGTGGGAGGAGCATGGTTGGTGGCCCTCTCATCTCCTGCATGTCCTGCTCTCTTGCAGCCTGCAGGCTCCACTGGGAGCTCTGTGACCACCCCTCCCCCGCTTGTACGGGGCACCCAGAACATTCCTTCCGGCAAGCCATCACTTCAGGTCAGTGTTCCCTCTGCGTCATGCTCCTGAGCAGCCCTGATCCAGTTTCTGCAAAAGCCCGCTTGTTTCTTCTGATTAGAGGCCTTCTGGTGGGAGCCCAAAAAATAAAACATGCTTGTGTTCCCATACCCAACCCAGGCCCCTGTTGACATCATAAATAAATCACACAGACTCTCGGAGGGCCCCTCCCATGACCACCCCTAGAGAGACTGGAGAGAGGGCCAAGGTCCTAGGCAGACTGGGCTCCCTTCTGCCTGACTCTCTGAGGGCAGTTGGAGGGCCCAGTGGGGCCTTGTCCCAGCCTGGCTCACAGCCTCCTCTGCCCACAGGGTGAGATGGGCAGATCTCCCACTTCCAGCCATAGGACAGAGGTCAGGCCAGGGGCCCACCTCCCCTCAAACAGGCCTGAGCCCCCAGCTCAGACCAGCAGGCGGGTGGTACTGGTCCCAGTTAGCTGGACTCTTGCTGTGGTGGGGCCCGAGTCCTGAGTAAGCCTGAGTGAGCCCAGGTTGGCGTGGCTCTTGTCAGAGCCTGTTCCTGGTTCTTTTGAATAAATAGGCATTTTAGCTTTTATTTTCTCTGCCACCACCCTTTTTTTTTGACATTTTAATTTTTCTTTCAATCTTCTTTTTAAAACATCTTTATTGGAGTATAATTGCTTTACAATGCCGTGTTACTTCCTGTTGTATAACAGAGTGAATCAGCTATACGTATACATATATCCTTATATCCCCTCCCTCTTGCGTCTCCCTCCCACTCTCCCTATCCCACCCCTCTAGGTGGTCACAGAGCCCTGAGCTGATCTCCCTGTGCTATGCGGCCGCTTCCCACTAGCTAGCTATTTTACATTTGTTAGCGCATATATGTCCATGCCACTCTCTCACTACGTCCAAGCTTGCCCTTCCTTCTCCCCCACCACCTTTTTTTGGGTAATGAGTATGTGCTTTTACAAAAACAGCAAACCTGTTTATTTAAAAAGTCATGTAAGATCTGAGGGTTGGTGTTGTTGACAGACCTCTTCAACTCGGATGCCTGGCAGTGTCATCCCACCACCCCTGGTCCGTGGCGGGCAGCAGACGTCCTCGAAGTTAGGGACACAGGCGAGCTCACAGGTCGTCATGCCCCCACTCGTCAGGGGGGCCCAGGTAAGCAGAGTGAGGGCTTAAGAGAAGCCCCAGGCAGCCCTCCACCTCTCGAGAATGAGTCTTCCTAGTTCTCAGGTTGGGGGCTCTTTCC